GACATAGTTAATATAATTATAGTACCTATTAGTAGTAGTTCTTCTATTAGATTAATTATCCAGTGAATAATTTATAAGAATAATATTTCTACTAACGCATAGAATCGTATTTAATTAAAATATTTTTATTTTTAAAAATTATCAATATATAAATACGAAACGTATCTTTTTACGATACCTAAAAATAACCTAAACAAAATAAACGCGAGTCTCTGTGTAATATTCATGATGATGTTGTCCCGACCGATTCCGGCCACGGCGGCCAATCTCATTGAGACTAGCCAACTGCGCAGGAGATATTATAGTGCACAAGTGTGTGCGCAGACACAAGTGCACTCTCTATTCCTGTCACTCTCATACTCTGGTGGGACGAAGATTATTCATAGTCCAATATTTATATATATCGTCATACGGCCAGAAGAACTGTAATAAAAAAGATATCGCTTTGAGATGATAAAAAAAAATATTTTATAATATAAAAACAAATAGAATTTGACAGATCTATATCACTGCAAAAAGCTATAACTATACATATATCGTACATCACACGTTTTTATGTACAATCAATAGACATTACAAAAAAACCGCGTAATTTGATAGACATGGAAGTGTCATGTCCAAGGAAGTTTCAAAATATTCGACCTTTTTGCGAGTAACCTACTTGTTCATAGTAATTCAACAGAAACAGTATATTATGTGTGCATTTTATATACGTTTTAGCAACTGTGTTAAAAATACTGTTCATTAATTATTATTTTATTTGATACAAGCGAGTTCGTATTGTTTGGGTTCACTTCTCACCTACTCAACTCTTTTTGAAATTCTTCAATTTTATATATCTACTGATAGCTGGTTATCCGGGTCAACATATAGGATACTTTTTACTGCGGGAAAATATCTCATCTCTGAGAAATCTATTCTAAACATTAAATCGTAACTAGGGACGAACACGAATGGAACGAGAGTGAGTCGCTAGTAAATAATACTAGTACATTATGTAATTTTTGATTGAGTTTTCCACTGACCAGTAAATGTCTCAAAGCGATTAATCATATAATTTTTCATCCCTTATCACATGCGAACCCTTTTACTTTTTGGGTATATATAAGTCGCTAATATCTTTTTCACTAGAATCCTGTATCTGCTCGCTCGCGAAAATACAAACAGACAATACTTAAACCTTATTTTGGGTTTTGGTATAGTTTTCTCAAAACAATTCAATATGGCGTAACTATTTATATTTATATATATATATATATATATATATACATATATATATATATATATATATATATATATATATATATATGTATATATATATATATATACAGACACCTGAACTTAGTTTCTAAATATCTTATTAAGCAATTTTGTAAACAAACTTTATTTTATAAGTATGAAATGTGTAGATACAAAGGCGATAGACTTTACAGGCGAATAATACTTTCACACTATAATTAATTCTCAGGCCTTAATTGGCAATTCGTACAGGTTTGTTATCTTTATGGCTCTATGTGGTAGGTTTTTATATTTTTTGTCTTTTATTTAAGCTTTGAAGCAGTTAATTTACTCATGACGTCGCTTAAAGATGGGCTTTAAATATAATAATAACATTTATTCCCGCGCTATTAAAAAAGTGTTCTAATGCAGTATTATATTTATCATTAGACCAAATGTATATACTCATAAGTATGATTCATTGAAATAAATATAATTAAAAATTTAATTTATTCATGAACTCAAACTAATTGTTTGAAGTTTATTTTTTATCTTGTTGAAATATTTTATAATTGCTAAGTTTTCAGAAATATATATTATACGAGTATATTGTGAATAAGTACTTGGCCCTAGATTTATTATAGTCATATATTTGAGCTTACATTATTTTAATCCACATATAAGTTTTTAAAAACTTTTTTCTCATTATCTATTCGAAGTATACTAAGGTTTATTTTAATACTATACATATTTATATAACAAGAACGTGTCACAAGCGTCTCTGGGCTTAGAATTTTTGCAATACAATAATAATTTCTCATGGGAAACTTATTTGTCAACATTATAACCATATCTGAGAGAACCCAAATTATTTTTGGAAGATATGTAAATTCAACCAATTCACGTTTTGGCCATGGTGGTCTATGATGTGATCTCCCTTGCCATACCCAACAGGGGGATTTAGAGGGCCGAATTATTTACGAATTATTATTATTTGTATGACTCTTGATCTTCTAAATACCAATAAACCAACAAACATACTTATTAGTATTTACAATATTAAGTAAGGATAAGTAAGGATGACATTAATATATAAATAATTTGTAGACATTTTATATAAAGATCGTAAATAAGACGAAACAAATAATTTCCATGATTAGTTATTATATTAAAAGAAATATCATTTAAAACGGGCTATAAAGTGTTTTCTGTGTCGCATAGCGCCCAACGTCCACGTGTGTACCGTTAAGCATCCTACGGTCAAACGTCTCGTGCACTTCCAGCAATACAACGGATCACGTACGGTATATTTTTTCGCTTTCGTAGTTATGTAACAGTTTTACTTTAATTATATTAGGGGAAATGATTTAAGGATGTTAAGGGAAACGTATATTACGCTGTTTAATATATAAAGTTTTTTTTAAGCTTTCAAAGCTCTTTTATGAAGTTCATATCGTATCGAGTTCATGATCAGGTTTAATATTTTGTTATTTATTCACGTAATTTTTATGTTTTAAGGGGAATTTAGAAATATTACTGGTTATTTTGCTTAGGAGTATTTATAACTTACTACCGACTCAACTTCGCTCCACTCTGATTTATCTCTATTTACGTTTTAACGTTTAGTATAGATTTCTCAGAATTCTAAGCCACTAAAAAAAATTGATTTCTCAGAAATGAGCTATTTTCCCGCAGTAAAAAGTGTTCTATATGTAGACCCAGATAACCAGCTATCACCATACCAAGTTTTATCAAAATCTGTCTAGTGATTTTCTCGTGATGCGTTCCCAGACAGACAGACAGACAGACAAAAATTCTAAAAACTATAGATTCGGCTGCTGTGTCGATAATAATGACTATTTCAAGAATATTTAAAAAAAAATTTTTTTGATGTACAGACAGATTCGACTCAGAATTTTATTATATGTATAGATTTTTAAATAAGATATATTCTATACCATGTTTATTTTTAGATTTGGCAGGGAAAGTTAATTAGAATATGGGATATAAGTACTGTAAAATTAATTCATTGAAGTATCTACTTACGATATCTTATAAACCTAGTAACCGTAGTCATACTATTTTGACAGATACAAAGAGATAAATCAAAGATGTATGCAAATTCTTAAAAATAGTGTTATTACAAAAATATTACTAAAACATATATTATTTAAGAGAAAAGTTACAGATACAAAGATTTTTGGATACGATGAACATGTACTCGTACTGATAGAATAACAATTAATTAAGCATTCTCTAGGCTTCTTCATCTTTACTTTCCATCGGCTACTACTTGGGTCAAACGTGACTCCATTTGGATTTACTTATTCATTGGCGACATATTTACGGAGTTTATGTGAAACACGATAGCGCTTGAATGTAGCAGATTTTGTCGAGACATTTAATAATTCCTTTCATGTAACTGGATAGAGCTTTCATAACAAGTATAAATATAGTTTTAAAGATTCGACTCTACAGAAAAGATTTTTTTTTCTTTAACTTGATTCTACACATCAAGGTAATTTAGTGCCCAATTTTTGACATTACATGGCACAAACAACCGAAACGAAAAGTATTTTTCAACTACAACGTGTTATAAACATGTCGGATATTTCAGACTGTATTATTTTGTACTCATGTGTTTTTGAATGCAGCTTGCAGTTAAAAAAGTTGGAATGGCTCATTGTTCGTACTTTAAAAGTATCGCCATTGGCTTACTTACTGAATAACTTCCTAAATCATTCAAGCAAATTTGGGAATTATTCTTATAACGCAAGAGTCTGTATTCGTAAAACAGAAAATATTTTTTTTCGAGCTTATTTATGTTTTAAAAACCTAAAGGCGTTTTCGGCACCTTTGTTTATTGAATGGACTTCCAACTGATTTGCTTTACTAATATTTCTCGACCGGATTCTGAAGAGAGTTGTTTAAAAACTATATGTTATTACTGGAGATCGAAATAACATGACTCAACGCGAAAGAAACAATTTGATACACATATCATCATCCAGCCCTGGCTTCGGCCAGGTTTAAAGTATATTATATATGTATATACACATCTAAATGATTAGTTAGTGAAGTGAAAACTTCTATAGGCAGGTTTGGATAGGGAGTAAATTCATGTAAGTCGTCATCGACATGGTCACGTGACGTGTTAACGCTAACACTCAGAGTGCCGATAGATGTCACAACCAGATAAATATAAACAGATTTAATTTACAAATTTTAACTTGAATATCCAAAAATAATAACTGTTTCTTTATAGTTTTAAGTTTTCACTTCTGTCGGCAGTCCTCCAGACTGCTTTTTTTATTATATGTAATGTTTTTAGAAAAAATCTTGCATTATGAGACGTAACTCACGCTATCTATTACACTCTATTAGTACTATGTGCGATTCTAACTCACCAAAGTTTAATCACTTTCATATAATACATGAATAACAAATGAACAGCCATTCATTTTTATAATATAAAATATATGTTGGAACATTAATTAACACATAGCACCAACTAGTTCTATGGTAAGCTACGAGGCTTGTGTTATGGATACCAGATAGTTGATACACTACATATATATAACTTTAAATACATACATATTATAAAAATAAACACCTATCATTGGAGTACAAACATTGGTGCTCATCACAAATAGAAATATTACATAAATTATTAAATATCACACTCTTTGAAATTTTCAAGTACTTACAGCTTGTTAATCTGCGTTTAAATGTAAATCTTTAAACATAAAAACATACTAAAAGATAATTATCTTTCTTTTCAGATAATTCGAACATAATTCGGACGTGTAGTGCAGTGTGATATGTTCAGTGCGTTGACGACGCGTAGGTGACAATAGTGTTTACATGTCAGTGAGCGCTGGATGATGACCGGTTGGAAGAACACGAGCCGGCGGAAAATTGACTGGTATGATAGCTGATTTATACCTTGCTTTGATTGTTTTATTATACAGTCTAAAACGCTTACTAAACCTTTCTATATCATATTACCTTACGGTATATGAATGGGATAGTGACTCAGCATTCCGTGTATACTGTAAATATTAGTGTAGACATACCTTTTTTTATGCATGTACATATATTATCTGTTACTAGAATTGAGTTTTCTTTTTTAAATCCTGGATAGTGACGATTGTATTGAAATATATTAATAGGTACTAGCATAATATGCGGCTACGCCTGCGTTCAAAAAAATTTCTTTGGCTTTATGTTATACAGCGACTCACTCTCTCTTTGCTCGGGTTTCTCGCTATGTATTTATATAATCCCTCCACGACTGCGGACACGCCGGCGTGTCAGTTAATAATAGATTTCTTAGAAATTTAATTAATTTATTAGAAATTTACCTGGAGGTGTTAATATTGTTCATACAAAAATATTAAAATAGCGATTATAAAATCTGGGGTAAGAGGGTGAGAAATTTACGAGCTATTCTCATACCTACCACATATACATAAAAAAATATCATTAAAATCGGTCAAGCAGTTTCGAAGGAGTGTGACCACAAACACCGTGACACGTGATATTTATATATTAGATTTCGCAGTAATTTTATAGGAATTGATTTAGCGACATAAACAGCGCACAAATATGTAGTCTGTGGCATACTCCATCCCATAAAAAAATATTTATGTAAAAGTCGCGACAATTTGTTGCTATGCATGGTAGAATGATAAACCGTAGCTAGCTTATAGCGTACATATAAATCAATTTTAATATATTTTTTACATAAATTTAATTCTGGCAAGTGTACACACCTGCTTGCCAGGTAGGTGGCCATAAAACCTTTTTTTTTACTAATTACTCTTCATATTTTCTATTGAGGGACTTCAATACTTTAATCACTAAGACCTACATCAAACAACGTTCAAACACAAAATTAGCGAGCAAGTGAGGATAAATATTAACATCTAGTATATAATTGCTATTGAAGAGAAACAAAGATTCAAATGTCTCTATCCTGTGCCCATTTATAGCGTTATCCAAAGGTCATCACTGCAATGGCCAATACTCCATAACATAAAGTCACAATAGTTCACTGCTGGAAACAAATCTAACAATGCAATTTTACTGCTTCACACCATAATGTTGGTAATCTTGATGGTGTTTAGAATTATTATATGGAAGGACAAAGCTTTTGTAATCTTTATGCTCTGCGCACTTGTTATTACTTTACAACATTTTATATCATGGCTAGGTATTTATTATTTGAGATGTTTTATACAAGCTCATTTTATGTCAGTAACAAACTTCGGTTTAGAAGATAAATGTTGAGCTTTTATGGTTTTGGTATTATAAACAAATAAATAGATGCTTCTGTTTAGGCCCATTTATTACAGTATATCTATATTAAGGTATATTTATAGTGAGTTAAAATTATCATAATTTATAAAATCGTAATAAACGCTCAATCATTTAAATATATACTAATAGATTATCCACAGCTAAAATAGCTAAATAAGTTATGCAAATATTTTTACGGAGTTTTCGATTTTTATTTTATTTTTTGATTTCCAATTTCTTCCTTATGTTTAGGTACTATTTCTCATAGAATAAACCTTTATAGTACACAATTCAGAAGAAAAAATGAAAGCGTCACGTAAACTTGACGAATATCGAAATAAACTTTATACTATTCTAAGTAAAGACATGACTTCGAGAATTTACCACAGATAACAATATGAGAACGTATTTTCGCACGCTTGCACTGCCTAAGGTTACAATCACACGGAGAGTCAATATCGGTCAAAGGCTTGCAGAATACTTGTTCCCAGGCTTACGTTGCCTAATTTAAGGGTAACCTTTCACTGACCGCATACCACTAGCGCATGATAGTTTAACAGAGGAACAATTCTATAAGATACTAGCATTGCCCGCGGCCCCACCCGCATTCAGATGACCAAAAACCAAATTCCTAGGTTTTACATATTAGTATACTCTTACATTGCAGTTTTTGTATTTTTCTCAGAAATGAAATATTTTCCCGCGGTAAAAGGTATTCTATATGTTGACCCGGATAACCAGCTTGCACTAAATTTCATCAAAATCCCTCCAGTGGTTTTTCTGTGATGCGGTAACAGACAGACAGACAAAAATTCCTAAAACTATAGATTCGGCCTCTGTACCTATAGATAATAATTTTTATTTCAATAAGAATTTCCAAAAAATATTTAATGTACAGATTCGGCTTAGTTACAATTTTATTATATGTATAGACTTCTCAAGTGTGAAGTTTCTGCAAAATATCTATATTTCGATGTTGTTTTGTGATAAACTAAACGTGTATAAGTACATAAATTTTTCGGAATGCAGTTGCCAAGTAGGTACATATTATATTACATACAGTCTATCACAGAAAAATACCTAGGTGTTGTAAAGTAACTAAGTGAGTACAATGACATATCGCATTTTAAAAAGCCTGTTTTGATATAATAAACACAAAACATAAATATATAGATTAAAAAATGACAAATGACGGTCTCATTGCTAGGAGAACGATCTTTAGTATTATTATCTATATTATTTTAGTAGAGAGAGAGAGAGAGAGAGAATGTGTGTGGAAGCTAAATATATAGATATAAAATGAAAAATAATATTTATTTACCATGTTGGTACATGGTGAATACCGTTTTACGTCACAATAATATTGTCAGTAACCATGAAAGTTTAAAGACTTATAAATAATATTTAATTATTATTTAATAGTGTTTAATTCAGTATTTTAACCGATAATACCAGTATTTTATAATGATTACTATAAAACATAATATTACTCATATACTTCCCATAAATAAATAAAACACTCCTTTATATCTTGTACTGCACTTCTTGATACTCGCACGTGTAATTCTGAAATAACCCAAAGCGGAATCTTACAGACAGTTATTACGCCCGCTATATTATAAGGCGAATGTATCGGGGCATTAATAAGATTGTATGTCATGATAAAATTTCTGTTTAAAGTATGTGTGTGGCAAAAACACAAGAATTCAAATCTGGGTATTCGCAAATTTGCACTTTCCAGTCAAAACTAACAATTTGACAGTAATTTTGTATATCATAATGTAGCACAATTTTGACCACAGCGAATGAAGAAAATTATCGCTTAGCATTAATTTTATAAAATTGTATATATATATATATATATATATATATATATATATATATATATATATATATATATATATATATATATATATATATATATATGTAATGGTAAAAAATGTAAACGAGTTAATTTGAACTTTAAAATAATTTTCAATTATCTATACATATAATAAAATTCTAACTAAGCCGAATCTGTACATTAAATATTTTTTGGAAAATTTTATTGAAATAGACATTATTATCGATACAGAGGCCGAATCTATAGGTTTTAGAATTATTGTCTGTCTGTCTGTTACCGCATCACGGAAAAACCACTGTAGGGATTTTGATGAAATTTGGTATGGAGATAGTTGGTTATCCGGGTTAACATATAGGATATTTTTTACCGCGGGAAAATATCTCATTTCTGAGAAAAAGTACAAAAACTGCATTGTAAGAGTATACAAATATATAAAACCTAACAATTTGCTTTTTGGTCATCTGAACGCTGGCGGAGCCGCGGATAATGCTAGTTATTCTATAAACTAAAATAACTACAGATTACATGGTGAAGAATCTGTTCAAAGTTTCTATAAGTTGGAGCAAGCTAATCAAGCGCGATGCGTTCTCCACGCATTCCGCCGCATAATAATGCACTTTCGTTCCTCGCAAAAAATAACATTTCATCGCACGATCGCGTCTGCCTCTTTCGGTGTGGATCGTTAGAGAAATACATCAAAAATGATGTATGGTAATTTGAAAGTTTGGTAGTAATAATAAAATATTTAACGTTTTATGTATTAGCACCTTACTTAAATTTCTAATTGCCTAACTTATTTTGTTGGATTTGTCTTCACCCCGAATAAAAGAATAACTATTAAAACATCGGAAAAATTCAGGAAAAAAATACATTCTATACTAAGCGTCAAAACGTATCTAGTGACGAACTTGAGCGAAGCGAGGGTGAGTCGCTAGTTATATATAAAGTACTTTCTTCTGCCTTATTATCATATATTTAGTTCACTATAAGCTTTATTCACATAGATTGAATTTCTCTATGACATAAACTAAGCCCATTTAGTTAATTCTTTAATTTTTTAGTCACAGTTCACATGTAATCGATTTACATTTAAATCGATGTTGTATTTATCCAAATATTAAGTATTAAGTCAGATAAATTCTATGAATCTGTTCTCTTTTACGCCTTAAAAAAACTATCTGAGATTTGCAGTCTTCATTAACGAATAAATTAATATTAAAAAAATATATTTAAAAACAAGCTTTTACATCATATAAATTGTGTAATAAACGAGTTTCATGTTATTTAAAGTTTATTATATATTTTTTAGGTATTTATTTATTCGCACTCTTTTCAGAAAACCTTTTCATTTGATATCCATATCACGGTGATGCAAAAAAAATCTTTAGGAGTCCGCCATGTTGGTTTAGAATGACGTCACTTATCTAACCATGCATTGTCATCCAAACGAGTCAATCATGTAGCTTCTTATCTTACACTTAGAAATAATATTATCTTAATTATAGAGCTTTCTAAATAATTTCCCCAGATTTAATAAGAAATTGTCAACAAATCTATTAGTAAACAAGATAACGTAAGATATGATTAAAAAGAAAACTACCACTTTTATTTCACGACGGGAAAAATATTCTCCTGCCTTTGAGAAATCTGAGATCCACGAACCAATGTTACTA